CGGAATTAAACTTTCCGGAAATACAAACTAGTAATTGTAAAATGTAATTGTAAAATACAACAGGAAAGGAAAAACATTCCGTAGATAGAATTTATTTTTAATGTTCTGTAATATTCTGAAGATAAAAATTCTGATATTTAATTTAAAATTCTGATTTCTTGTACAACTCTAATTTATTGGATAAATTAGATACCGTATAATCTGTATTAATTGCTCTCCCTCAAATAATTACCCCACTTACACTAATTACCCCATCCAGCGATAGATTGAAACAATAATTACCCCCAAACAAATGCCCTAAAACACGTTGAAATTTCAAACCTCATATAATTACCCTCCTTCGATTAATTTCTCCCTCCAGCGGAAGGTCGAAACAATAATTACCCAGGGTAATTATTAAGGATATACGGTAAATAATTGCCTATTTTTATTTAAAAAAATTTTTTTATTACACTAAAAATTTATAAAAAATATAAAAAGTGACGATAAATTAATTATATAAGTGCCTATTAGGTATATAAAAATATATGATTCAATTTTAATTTTTAAAGTTAAATATATGTATTTATATTATACTTTTATTCATTAAAAAATACATTTACTAAAAGTAAAACGTATAATTAGCTTTTAAATTATAAATTTCCATTAAAATAGTTTTTAAAATTAATTTAAAAAAATAAAAAATTAAATGGAGCAAAAAACATTTTTTAGTAAAACAAATAAATATACTGTAGATGATCACGTACATTTTAGGAAACCGAAAATTTTTCAAGATTCAAGAAAATTGTTTGAAATTTTCAACGCTAAAGGCAAATATAGTGTTAATCACAAGGGTTATTCACCTATATGAATAGTAAAATGTTGAGTCTTCTAAGGAGGCTGGGAGCCTTCTAAGGGGAGTGGGAGCTAATGGGAGTGGGAGCCTTGTGGGAGCTAATGGGAGCCTTATGGAGCCTAATGGAAATGGAGCCCTAATGGAGCCTAATGGGAGCCCTTTCTAATGGGCCTAATGGGAGCCCTTTCTAATGGGGCTCCCATTAGGGGCGGGAGTGTCGGGGATCGTTGTTTGTCGGAGTAGAGCCTTCGGGGTTCGGGTTGGGGTTTTTGCGAAAAAATAGTCGGGGTTTTACCCTAGAATAACCTAATACTTGGGGCATTGAACAACAGTAAGAACCTAACACACTTCAAACTCAACTCTCACTTCCTTTTCCCGGCTCAACTCTCACTTCCTTTTCTCCTCGAACATACAAACATTCGTTCTTCTCTTTTGTTTCATCGGTCTATAGGGGTGTATAGTTCAAAAGCCCAGAAAAGTCTAGGCCAAAGGCCAAGACTTTTACCAAAACCGAATAGACCCAGGAAAAGTCTTGAGTTAAGACTTAAGGCCAAGAGGATTGGAGAGCTCTAACATTTATTAAAGTTTATATGATAGACTAGAAGTAAAATAAAAATGTTTTTCGTGACTTTTAAAAATTAAAAAAATTTTTTTTTAAAGTAAAAATACATATTAAAGAGACATTGCACAATACTTTTAAAAGTATAGTCTAGCTACAATAAAAATTTTATAATTCTTGTTATTTTATTGAAAAAATTGTATAAATTTTTAATAAATGCGTGCCATGTACCTTAAAAATGTAAAAAATTGTTTTTAATAAAATTTGAAAGAAAATTACCGTATTTTTAGTATTAGATTTGTGTACGCAAGTACCATAATTCGTGTTAGAAGCAGTGATGTCAAAGTTCCAAAATTTCTCTGGAACTAGTTCCAGTTCCAGAACTAGGTTTTTAATTTTTGTAGTTCCAGTTCCAGTTCCGGAACTCCATTTTTGAAATTCCTTAGTTCCAGTTCCAGTTCCGGAACTCCATTTTTGAAATTCCTTAGTTCTAGTTCCAGTTCCGGAACTCCATTTTTGAAATTCCTTAGTTCCAGTTCCAGTTCCGGAACTCCATTTTTGAAATTCCTTAGTTCCAGTTCCAGTTCTGGAACTAGTTCCAAGCTAGTTCTAGTTCCAAATTTTTAAATTTTTTTTGAATATGAAAATATGGCTGTAGTATACAGGGTGACAAGAAAGTAACTGCAAAAGGTTAAAAAAAAGTAACCTGATATACAACTTACAACTCTTGAGCCTTGATATCACTCTTTATCTTTTTTCAAATCCCTCCTTATCCACCCAAATCTTTGTTCCCTTTTATTATCCTCCTTATCCATGATGTGGACCATGCAGTCTGGAAAGATACCGAGATTAGGAAATATGTAAAAAGATAATGCTACCGTGGGATTACGTAGGATTTGTAGGTATCTCTCAAAATCTTTAGATCTCCCCATAATTATTCCATTTTCAGCGACGCAGGCAAAAATTTGAAGAATTTTTGAAGACCAGAAGCCAAATTTCTTCAATTTTCTGCGCCGCAGACAAAAATTTTGAGAATTTCGGAAGGCCAAGAGCCAGAAGTCTTCCATTTTCAGCGCCTCAGGCGAAAAATTTGTGAATTTGCGAAGACCAAGCCACCAGATTTCTTCCTTTTTGGCGCCGCAGGCGAAAAGTTTGAGAATTTTGGAAGGCCAATTCACCAGATTTCTTCATTTTTTAGCGCCGCAGGCGAAAATTTTGAGAATTTTTGAGCTCAAGCGGCCAGATTTCTTCCATACTCAGCGCGCTGCAGGTAGTTTTCGAGGAAATTTTGCCAAAAATATACCCCCAAGAACTAGTTCCAGAACTAGTTCCAAAGCTAGTTCCAGACATTTACTAGTTCCGTAGTTCCAGTTCCAAGCTAGTTCCAGGCATTCACTAGTTCCGTAGTTCTAGTTCCAAACTAGTTCCAGATAATCGTTAGTTCCGTAGTTCTAGTTCCGGAACTGGAACTAGAACTAATTAGTTCCGGAACTGGAACTGGAACTTTGACATCACTGGTTAGAAGACTGGAAAATAAACAGAAAAATGATATCAAGGAAGATAAAATTTTGCAATAATAATCCCTGTATATTTATTTTATGGTCATCGAAATTTCAGAGTTTTGGGCTAAAATTTTAGAAATAACGACTTTAATGTAAATATTTTAAAATATATTTGTGGTTTGCTGATAAATAAATAAAAATTATATATACTGTACATGATCAGGTACGTTTTAGAAAGACTACATTTATGTATTAAGAGACTAGAAGTAAAGTAAAAACAATGAGCTTTCGTGACTTTAGAAAATTTTAAAAATATTTTTTTGAGCTAAAAATGTTTGTAATGTTAATGAGACAATGACAGTACTTTTAAAAGCATAATCCAAATACAATTAAAATTTTATAAATTTATTTTTAATTAGAAAAGTTGTGAATTTTTAATAAATGCGTGCAACGCACTTTAAAGAAGTGAAGAATTGAATAATTAACTTTATAATGCAATTACAATTAGATCATAAATTTCTGTTATTTAATTACAAAGTTATTTGAATTTTTATTAATTATACTATGCAATGTACTTTAAAAAGTGGAAATTATTTTTAATAAATTTTAAATAATAAATCACAATTTAATAAGCAGCTGCACGTATCTGTTGGTAAGGAGACGCTGGAAAATAAACAGAAAATTTTATTAAATTTTTAATAAATAATTTTTTAATGTAATAAGCACTTTTATAATTATAATAATTTAATAGTCACTTTAAAATTTTTTTAAAAATTTTTGTTTACCATAAAACAAATTTTTTATATTATTTGTCTTATACATTAAATTAGACTTCTAGAAAATATCAAAACTTTAACAGTAAATATCAGAATTATATAACCTCTGAATATAACAATAATTACATAAAAATATATTCCGTTTCCGGAAAATTTTTATTTTCCGGTTGTATTTCACAATTATATTTTTCAATTGTTAGTTAAGATTTCCGATAAGTATTTTCCGGAAAATTATTATACTATATGAATATTTTCTGGTTATATTTTCCGGTTATATTTTACCATTATTAGTTAATATTTCCGATAAGTATTTTCCGGAAAATTACTATACGAATATTTTCCGGTTGTATTATCCGGTTGTATATTTGTATTTTCCGGTTGTATACTTGTTTTCCGGTTGTATTATTTCGAAAGATAATTATAGTTCCGGAAGGTTTTATATTTTCCGGTTGTATTTTCCTGTTATATTTTACAGTTATTAGTTAATATTTCCGGAAAGTATTTTCCGGAAAATTACTATACGAATATTCGTTATTTTTTCCGGTTGTATTATTCTAAAAGTTAGTCATAGTTCCGGAAAGTTTTATATTTTCCGGTTGTATTTTTACAATTTTTACTTTTATATTTATAGTTTATTTTCAGGAAAGTTTATTTCCCTCTTCCGGTTATATTTTCTTAATATTATTAAAACTCAATTGTTAATTTTGTGTTTTCCGGTTGTAATATTCGGAATTTATATTTTTCATAGTTATCAAAAGACTTTTAAAATTAGAAAACATTGAAAATAAATTAATAAAAAAATTATTTCTTATTAATTTGCTAAAAATGAGCGACAATAACACAAATAATAATTTAACTACATTTAATACAAATCCTGTAAATTTTTTTAAAATTAAATAATAATTTCTATATAATTTCCCCAAAGTTTCATCATTATTGGGCAAATGCCGGTTTTATACATCATATGGTTGCGATGTATGGAGGGCATTTTATATTGAGTTTGATTGGATTTTGTTTAAATATATTGTTTGTTTATTTGACTAAAACGAGCAAGTTTGTAATTAATTAATTTTCTAAGACAAGTGATTTTTAACTTATGCCCTGATAGGGATCAGTACAAGAAATAATAGCAAATAGCTATTTAAAAGTCTTTTTTAGAGTGAGAGAACTCTTTTTGTGCGAGCGAATTGAGTGAGAGTGAGAGAAAGGTACAAAACAATGTGAGAGAAGAAAAGAGAGAACACTCGTAAAGTTCTTTTAGTCCTCTCTCTTAGTCTATATTAGAAGTCTCAACTTAGTTTCTGAGTTGTTGAATTTGAGAGAACAGGTTGAGAGAACAAAGTTCTGAAAATACAATAACTCAAATAAATCCTATCATTAAAGCACTTATAGAAATTTTTTTTTGAGTTCGACCTACCGAAATAACGACCCCTAATTTCCATCACAAAAATATTTAATTAAATCTCTAATTTTCCTATCTTTTTCAAGATCCCTCCATGGCCGTTGTAATTTACTTTTAGCATTTAATTCATTAACTATAACACCTTTACAACTTTTTTCTGGCGTTAAATTTTTTGTTTTATTTTCTGGAACTAATTTTATAAGACTTAAAACTTGCTATTATTTTGCTTTTTTACCTTTAATTGGGGCTGGATTGGCTACAAGTGCACAAATATGTGTTGGAGTGGATAGATTAATTAGTGTTTTGTTTCCTTTTTGGTTTGGAAACTTAAAAAAATTTTTTTGAAATTTTCAAAATATTAAAGGTATAAAGACAGCGATGTATACATCTCTACTTCAATCCTAATTACTTTTTGTTTTGTTAGATGTTTTATTCAAAATTGTTATTATTTTTATGGTGTTTCTTTACATCCCGATAAGTAAATATTTATTTATTGTAAAAATTGGTCCGACCCAGTTTTATGTACATCCTCGGAGCAATAGAAAAACCCTCACAAACACACAGGAGATAAACTCGGACATAAAATTAGAACAAAATGAGACTAAAAAGGATTAAGTATTAGTTGATGAAAGGGAAGACAATAATAAACAACTATATGGAGGGGGGTTATTGGAATATCTTAAGAGGATGTCTTTGTATTGAGAATATCTATAAAAATTATTCAAGCATGGTAATGTGCGGAGCGGGGGACATTGTTACACCAGAGGCTGCCCCTTTTATCTATGGAGAAGGTCTAGTTCTATTTTTCACTGAATTTGGTTGTTATGTTACAATTTGGTTAATTATTCTAATTAAAAAATCTTCGCAAGGTGAAAAGTGTTCTAAAGGATAATAACAAAATAATCTTACTAATTTTAAAGAGCTTGCATATGCAAAGAAATTAATTAAATCATTAACTATTTTAATGGCAATTTCTGTTTTTATCTTCTTACAGGCAAGTTTCTCTCATTTTCTTACTACGTTTCGGCGCAGCCCGTTTATGGCGCAGACGCTTGTAAAACATTTAGATTTGTACTTAGAGCCCTGAAATTTTGTATAGATATTCAAAATGAGGATACGTATCAAACTTGAATTAAGAATTTAGAATTTTTCGTTACGACACAGCACGTTTGCGCAGATTCTCCCGAAAATGCTAGTAATGATAGTATAATATTATTTATGCTCAAGTCCATTGATAGAATAAAAAACTTCTGAAATTTTCTGATACACACTCCATTAGAAATCTTAAATTTAACTAAAAGTATTTTAAGGGACAACTTTGGAGAGTAATTCTAACCTATGTTAGCTTTGACGCTTTTGCCACCGAATATTATATCAGTTATCCCACTGTGTGTCTTTATACGATTGGATTTAGCAGTAATTTACCTGTTCTTGTTATTTTTAGGTTAAATTCAATTTTTTCATTCCCCCAAAAATTTTTAAAAAATTTTATAGCACAGAATACAAAACAGCGTTTTATAAACATCTTGGCTGGCTATTTTGTATTAAACCTGTACAACTAAGTCAAGTTGTAGTTCCTACGGTTAGAAGATTGGATCAAGTCGAACCCACAAAAAGAGGGGATACTAATACTGTTGGGACTCAATCAACAACTTAATTGAAATATCATATTTCAGAATTAGTTTCTTTATCTCTATGTTTAATATTTTTCAATTTTCTGTAAATAGCCTGAGGGCAAATACTTAAAACTCTGTTCATTTACTCTCTATTTTTTAAAGTGTAGTAAAAAAATGAGTTTTTCGACTTTTAAAAAATTATTAAACTAAACAGAAATATTATTGAGACATTTTACAGTATACATATTTGAAAGTATAATCCAACATTATAAAAGTTTTATAATTTTTTTTATTTTAATTAAAAGGTGAATTTTAATGAATGCGTGCGCAATGTACTTTTTTAATTAAATATTTATTAAATTTAAATATTTAATAAATCATAAGTTTTTTTTCTTGTTTTTGTGTACTTTAGTATTGTTGCTACCGAAAGCAGCTGCGCAAGTACCTAGAGGTGAAGCAAAAAAATTTTTTTTCGTGACTTTAAAAATTTTTAAACAAAAAATATTAATAAAACATTACAAAATATCATAACTAACCACAATAAAATTTTTATAATTTTTGTTATTTTAATTAAAAAGTTTTATGAATTTTTAATGAATGCGTGCAATGCACTTTAAAATAGTGAAAAAAATTTGAAGAAAAAATTAAATAAAATATTTATAAAAATTTAAATATTAAATCACAATTTAATAAGGAGTATAACGCTTTTTCTTAGTTGTGTTTACGTTATTACTGTTGCTACCGAAAGCAGCTGCAAGTACCATGGTATCTGTTGGCAGGGAGACACTGAAAATAATAGGTATAAGGAAATAAAAATCAGAATTTGTTATTTTTAAAAATCAGAATTTTTAATTTAGAAAATCTGCATTTGTAAAAGCTTTAAAAATCAGAATTTGTAATTTCTAAAAAAATCAGAATTTGTAATTCAGAAAATCAGAATTTATAATTTTTAAAAATCAGAATTTGTAATTTTTAAAAATCAGAATTTGTAATTTTAAAAAATCAGAATTTGTAATTTTTAAAAATCAGAATTTGTAATTTTTAAAAATCAGAATTTGTAATTTTTAAAAATCAGAATTTGTAATTTTTAAAAATCAGAATTTGTAATTTTAAAAAATCAGAATTTGTAATTTTTAAAAATCAGAATTTGTAATTTTTAAAAATCAGAATTTGTAATTTTAAAAAATCAGAATTTGTAATTTTTAAAAATCAGAATTTGTAATTTTTAAAAATCAGAATTTGTAATTTTTAAAAATCAGAATTTTCTGTATTTTCTGACCTAGCCGTTGTAGGAGTATTTGTAGTATTTGGAGACGCAGTTGTAGTTTGTAGTTGCGATTGTTGTTGTTGATAGAGCAATAAATTATTTAAGTGTTGTTGTTGTAGCAGCATTTGTTGTTGATGTTGAAGGTTAATTGTAGAAGGGTCTGACAAGAGAGATTGTTGCTTCTGAAAGATTCTGGTTTTTTGTAAATAAAATCAGAATAAGAGAAAAATATCAGAAAAGATCAGAATTATTTCCTAAATCAGAATTTATGATCAGAATTTTGTCTCAGAAAAATCAGAATTTTTTTCCAAAAAATCAGAATTTTGTCTTAGAAAGATCAGCAAAAAATCAGAATTTTGTCTTAAAAAAATCAGAATTTTTCTCTGAAAAATCAGAATTTTGTCTTAGAAAGATCAGCAAAAAATCAGAATTTTGTCTTAAAAAAATCAGAATTTTTCTCTGAAAAATCAGAATTTTGTCTTAGAAAGATCAGCAAAAAATCAGAATTTTGTCTTAAAAAAATCAGAATTTTTCTCTGAAAAATCAGAATTTTGTCTTAAAAAAATCAGAATTTTTCTCTGAAAAATCAGAATTTTGTCTTAGAAGAATCAGCAAAAAATCAGAATTTTTTCCAAAAAATCAGAATTTTTTCCAAAAAATCAGAATTTTGTCTTTTTAATAAATCTAGAATCTAATTTTTGGAACCTGTGCAGCTAATATAGAAGCATAGTCAATAGAAGAAGTGCCTTGTTGTGCTAATAATGCTGCAATAACAGGGTCAAATCCGGGAATTCCACTAGTAGAACTCTGCGCTTCGATATGTTGCAAATTTGGAATACTGTTTGGAACAAGTGTAGGATTTAAAGTAGAGGCCAAAAAGGCTGCTTTAATTTAATTTAAAAAATATTTTTTGAATTAAAAAATAAATGAATGAATTTATTTTTTTTGAAACAGAATTTGGGGATGACTTTAAAAATTGTTAAAAAAGCATGAAAAAAATTAAAGGGTAAAACACCACAAAATAAAAATTTGGGGATTTACATAATAAAAAGATTAATGTATATAATACAGGACCTCACTTAAAATAGAGACCGAACTGAGACAAGTTCTAGAAAAAATCCCTATTATCAAGATTCATACTTGTCCAGTTGGTCTTTTAAAATATAATTTTAAAATCTGGTTGGCAGTTAAGTGAGAGAGCTGTCTTAGCGATATAGCGATATCCTCTATTTACTAAATAAAATAGTAGACCTAATTGTAAGCCACAATTTTTCAACTCCAACGGTCTACTTTAGTTGGGTATTAGATTAAATCTCTCATATATCAACAGTTTTTCTTAGCCTAATCGCTCATAAACCTTAGCCTAATCGCTCGCTCATATGTAAGAAAGATCCGCTCTTAATAGGAGAGACAGAAATCATTACAATAGGAAGAGCATTCTTTATAGGGAGGTCAAACTGTATTATACCTATATCCAAATCACCTGTTTGTTGTGGATAAGTATTTAAATTTGAAGAGGATGTGACTGGCAAAAACCGAGAAAGTTGTTGATTGTTTAGAAGAGCAATTTGCTTTAAATTTAGGAGGGAAAAACAAAATTTTAAATTTAAAGGTAATAAAATATTAATATAAGTATTTTATTTACTATTTTAAAGCTTGATAGCCAAAAAAAGAGATAAAAAGCAAAAAATATAGATAGCATTATGGAAAAAACAGAAAATAAAAAATATTTTACTTGGAGAATTTCATGGAAAAATTAAGATAATACAGTCGGAATTTGATTTTACGTACACCTCGATTCTATGAAAAAATCTTTGAGATTCGTTAGCTAATGGATAAAAAGGAGAAAGTGAGAGCCTAAGCAATGCCTCTGATTGAGTGATTTATTTTCGATCGGAAATGACGAGGATGCCGGAACTCGGAACTGTCGGAAATCGGAAAGTCGGAAATCAGTTGGAATTATCGACAACTGGAAAACACTTCGAGTTTACTTGACAATTTTATCTTCCCAAGGTGTACGTGAAATCAAGATCGGACTGTAATAAAGGATTAATTTAATTAGTTATAGTAGTAATAATTAAAAATAATTAAATTATAAATGGGTGGGTGACTTTGGAAATTTTTGGAAATATCTAGGTTCCCAAGGTTAGAAAAATAATAATTCTCTAGGTCTAAGATAAAATAAATAATGAATTATACCATCTTTTAAACAAGAATTAATATTAAAATAGGGTAACTCTGTATAGCGATCCTACTTAATATGAGTATATTGGGACTTGAGAATTAATATCCGAAAAAAGGATTGAGAAGTAACCCAATCTAGAAAAGGACCCATTCCTCAAAAAGGTACCATCCCCTAAATATTTTTTTATCTTGAGACAAGAATATGTAAGAAATACATAATTCTTTATAAAAATCCACACACTCTCAAAGAAATTTACCTCTTGAAGTGATTGAGGAATTAATAATGGCATATTATTCGAAATAATATTTCTCTGTGTTTGTTGTTGTTGTAATTGTTGTAATAATAATTGTTGTTGCCACAAGGAAGGGGGTAATCCTCCAATTAAGGGAAGGGTTGGTTGTTGAGTAGATTGTTGTTGAGGGGCCCCTCCCAATAATAATTTCCCCCCTCCTCCAGAAGCAACCACAGAAGCTAATACCGAAGTTGAAGGTGTTAATATATTTGTCAAGGTACCCACAGGTTTGTATTGAATTGTGGGACCTTTGGCGGGGGAATCGAGTAAAATGTGACAGACATGCTTCATACAGCCTATTAGCGCTTCACTGTTACCACCTTAAATTAAAAGAGTAAAAGTTTCCCCTCTTCCAAGATTCCCTCTTTTGCCTTTCAAAGGACTCATAATGGTCAGACTAAGGATTTTTTTAAATTGTCAGCCCGACCCCGATCCGTGACAGTCCTTTCGCCTCATTGTTCCCCAAAAAGCTTCCCTCTTAATTATCTCCAGGATTCCACTCTTTTTACTTTCAAAGGACTCATAATGGTCAGACTAAAGATTCCATGTTTTCGTTTGCCGATCCAAGGCAATCCTTCCTTTGCCTCCTTGTTCCCCGAAAAGGTTCCCCCCTTAATTATCTCCAGGATTCCCCTCTTTTTACTTTTAAAAAGGCTCATAATGGTCAGACTAAGATTTTGTGTTTTCGTTTGAAATTGACTTTCCGACCCCGATCCAAGACAGTCCTTTCTTCGCTTCCTCGTTCCCCGAAAAAGTTCCCCACGACGGGCCGAGGAGAAACATTACAACAATGTCTAGCTTAATTTTGGAGAAATATAGAAAATAATTTACTTATGGTAACTGGTTTTTCTGTAGAATTGCTAAGCATTTCGTTTGCTACTTGAAGAGAAGCACCAGTTTTCTTTTTAATTTGTTAATAATTTTTAATAAATTTAATTTCTTACATCACGTATTTCTCTTATTTTTGAGCCGCCTTTTCCAATTAATGAACCGCATTGTGAAGCTGGTATCTTTAAACAGAAGAATTGCAAAAAATAAGAATTTAAAATTTTATTTTGTTGTTGCTTGGGCTATGGATTAAGGTATCGGACTTGGGATAACCTGTGACATCCCTGGCCTTGCTATCTCAGGATTTACTAGCAAAGCTAGAGTTGATTTTTGGATCCTACATATAAGGGCCTATACTAAGGCAGACTTTATCAACTGTACGGTATCAGACCCCGAGTTTTTGTTAAGTTTAAGTCTCAGATCGGGTATCGGATCTTGGGTACAAAATTTCGAATAACATGTGACATATTTGGCCTTGATGCCTTAGGACCTAAAAGCAAATCTAGACCCAATTTCCTTCCCATTTGGGACGTGCCTCGTGTTTACGTGGCCCTGTTTAGGTTCTATAAAAAGACTACACTAAAGCAGACTTCACCAACTCGTCAGGTATCGAGCCTGAGTTTTCCGTTAAGTAAAAGTCGGGTGGAGTGTTCATGCTACACCAGTGGCAAATGAAAAATAAAAATTTACAATTAGCCTAAGAGTAATGGGTGGCTTTATGGCTCCAGCTTGTGTTGAAGGAATATCCTTTTAAAATATTAATAAAAAATTTAATCAGAAAGAAACTTCTTCAAATTTTCTAACAATCAAAGTAAAGGCTTGATCAATGGCAACAAAAGTACCCGAAATTGTTACAATTCTGATAGATAATTGATAAAATTTAATTAATTAAATCACCTTTCTGGACAGGACCCATCTGTAATATTAATTTTGGCACCACTATTTTCTCTAATCTGTCTAATAAAATCGCCCTTCTTTCCTATAATGCTGCCTACATCCTTAATTAAATAAGAGAAGAATTCTGATAATAATTAAATAATAATTGTAATTTTAAGGAAAAATCAGAATTACAATTTGTAATTTGTATTTTTGAAGAATAAAAAATCAGAATTTTGTATCAATTTTTATTAAAAAATTCTGATTTTAAAAATCAGAATTTCTTTATTTTTATAGGAAAATACTGATTTCCCTTTTCTTTATTTTATAAAAATTCTGATTTTGTTTTAATAATTCTGATTTCTACTTGAATTAATTTTAATAAAAAATCAGAATTTATAAATCAGAAAATGTGTATTTCTGTCAACTATTTATAAAAATTCTGATTTTGTTTTAATAATTCTGATTTCTATTTGAGTTTATTTTAATAAAAAATCAGAATTTAGAAATCAGAAAATGTGTTTTCCTGTCAATTATTTCTACTTAAAAATCAGAATTTTTTATTTTTTAAAACCAGAATATTCAAAGAAGGATGTGTTTTGCATATATTCTGATTTTTCTTTACTTTGATTTCATTAAAATTCTGATTTTGTAATTTAATACAAATATTCTGAATTTATTAATTCTGAATTCTATTTGAGTTAAACTAAAATTAGAATTATTTAAAATCAGAATTTAAATCAGAATTACTTTAAATCAGAATTATTTAAATCAGAAAAATAAATTCTGTTTATTTAGTCAGAATTAAAATCAGAATTATTTAAAATAATCAGAATTAACGTTTATTAATTTAAATCAGAATTTTTTAAATCAGAAAAATAAATTCTGATTAAATTAAAATCAGAATTATTCAAGTACCTTTCCCTGCATTAACATCCTAACTGTCAGAATTACATTATCCTTTTGAAGGGGTGTTTCTGATGAATTATTATTTAATGTATTTTCGCTGGAGGGAGGGGAATTATTATTTTTATTATCAGAATTTTGAGGAATTAAGGTTTTTGGGGATGAATAAAATGAGGAAATAATTTTATTATTTTTATTTAAATTTTTATTAATTTCCATTGATGATTTTGTAGTAGTTGATGGATAATTACACAAAAATGAGGAAAAGAAATTAATTTTATTTTTGTTTAAATGATTATTTTGTGGGGTGGTGGAATGCATTTTTTTATTTTTTTTTATCAATTTTCTTTAAAATAAAAAAATTTATTTATTTAAAAAATGTTTTTTGGATGATAAGAATTTTGGGTGGAAATATTGGAAGAGTCGTAGTTGAAGCGAGTTTTGAATTAAAGAGTGTAATCTAGGAAATTACCTAATTAATCCCTACTCTTAATATTTTTGATGTTGATATTTTGATGGCCCTCGTTGGGGTCGGGTGTGTCGGGATCGGGGTTTGCCGGGAATGGAATGTTGGCGTTCGGAGTCGGGGTATAACTTTGTCGGAGTTCAGGGTCGGATGTGGTGAGGTACGGGGTGCTATTTAGTTTAAAAATTATTTTAAATTAGCACATATTTTTTTTAAGACAACTTAACAGATAGGGTGAAGGAATTAGAAAGTTAGAGGAACTAAAAAATTATATTTTCGATTTTGGGAATGAGGGAATGAGGGAAGGTATTTGAAATGGCATGACTAGAAAACTTCCGATTTCGGAACTTGGAACTATTTTTTTCGGAATAATTTTTGTAGGCTTAGAAAATATTTTAAATTAAAGTGGATATTTTTTAAGTTTGTAAAATCGAAAAAAATTGAAAAAAAATTAAAAAATAAAAATTAAATTGGCAAATTAATGACTAAAAAGTGGATAAAAAAGAAAAGAAAAATACTCAATTTGGAAATTTGGTAGTAAAAAGTAAAAAAGAAATGAAGTTTAATGGCTTAACAACACATTGCTGTGTCCCTCAATTTATTTCTCTCAATCCTTAAAAAATTTTGTGGAAAAGTAATAAAATTTAAAACGAAATGATAAAATAAATAAAACTATTAAAAAATATTTTTTTTGATAAGAAAGCAACTGAAAAAAGTGTGACTAAAATAGGAGGCCATTAAATTTAAAAATTAATAAAAAAAATTTTTAGGGAAAAAATGTATCATTATGCAAATGAAAGGTTCAGTATTTAGACTATGTTTTGGGCCATAACTTTTTTGATTTTTGAGCGATTTTTATCCGGCACAAATAAATATCCAGCCTCTATTAATTACCTCATCCTCCAAGATTTGGAAAAATAATTACCCAAGGTTTTTAATAGGGTCGGGGCTTTCGGCCCGGGCGATGTTAGAGTCTTTTTTTGGGCCTCAATTTTAATGGACCTGACGGAACGAGTCCTTTTCAAGCAAAATTCAATGCCAGACCAGGTCTTTCGGACCGAACCGGGCCGAGAACCCTATCCCTAATACATATATGCATTAATTAAATTTTATAAGACCCATAAACCTTCCTAAAATTCCAGAAAAATTTTTTTTTAATTCCAAAGTGTATTTAAGTGCAAATAGAAAACAAAAAACAAATAAAATAACAAAAAAGCATAGAGAAAATTAGGAGGAAATGAGAAAAAAAGATGATTGAAAAATGAGAAGACAGATGATGCGGTTTTTAATTTTTAAAAGTTGAGGGTTTAAAAATAAAAAGTAAAAGTTTTTTGTTTATTTATTTTGCAATTGAACGATAATTTTAAAATTTAAATTTTTAAAAATAGGGAAAAACAATAAAAATTATTTATAGTTAACTACATAACAATTACGAGGTCATTAATTATAGAGCCCGAACCGTGAGGGTTGTAATACAAGAATCGACCTTGATAACCTTGTTTCAGTTCGATCTCTAATTATAATAAAGGCATTAGGAAAGGATTTGAGGGAGAGGATTCGAATTTTTTACCCAAAAATGAGCTTACTCCCCTATGGTTTTTGACCATTTCGAGCCCCATATCTCGGTCCAAAGGCAAATCCCGGGAAAAAAGTGGCAATGTTCAACTCAGCACCTATTTTTACCCTATATATGACATTTTGAGCATTAATTTAGGGGGATGTGGCATAACGGAAAAGTACGCAGGCGTTAACTAAAAAAATTTAAATTAATTATAAAAAGAATTTTTGTGATCAAATGTCACCAAAATATAAAAAAGCACAAATTCTAATTTAAACTCCCCAATACTTTCCTATCTTGTTTTCCCCAATTTTTGTCCTCAATCAACAAACATTCCCTCTCTCCATTCATTTGCGCTCCTTTATTTACAAATTTTTTTGTTTTCCCCCTCATTTCTACCTTTGAAAGTCGCATAAAAGCTCCCTCAAGAGCTTATTTAACCACAAAGCTTAAAAAGAAATGAAGTGTTTTAGTACAAAATTATACAAGAAATGATCAAATATTGAGGGGAATGAATAGAAAAATTAATTTTAGGGAAATAATTTTGGGGAGAATAAAGAGAGAGAATGAGAGGGGAATTGTGGGAGTGTAGACAAGTTTGGACCTTATAACTTTAGTAAAAATGAATTTTTAAAATTGAAATTGACTTCATTTGATAGAGCAGAAAATTTGCTATTAAATACAGGGTGCGGCAAATTAAGCGCGCGTTTTGTTTTTGCCATAACTCTCTTCAATTCAATGAAAATTGATAATTCTTTTTTTATATCATTCCCAACACTCTAGGAAATTTTTTGGTAGAAAATAATAGAAATTTGGCTTAAAGATAATAAAGATATTCCCGAAATAGTCTATAAATCGCATCATGAAATATTTTTTATGACAAAGTTTACTTTGCCATAACTTCGCTCAAAGTCACCCAATCTTACTAATTTTGGTACCAATCGACTTGTCTCGACGAGGAGCATCGAAATAGTCTATAATTAAATTTTTGAAAATTTCACCTAAAAAAGTGAAATTTAGCATTTAGTTCCTAATTTATCATTCAAAGGCCCATATCTCAGCTCAAGAACAAGATAATCGTCTAATTTTTACGTCAATCGAATCAGATAAAAGAGCTTATTCGAATGATATCAACTATCCCCATATCAGGCACACGGCATTTAAATCAAACGACTTTTGGTTCAAAAAATTTTGCCAAAACTTTAGGAAAAAATAATCAAATTAATTTGAAATTTTTTTAGAATATTTCGGTACCAAAAAATTTCCTAGAGTGTTGGGAATGATATAAAAAAAGAATTATCAATTTTCATTGAAATTGAAGAAAGTTATGGCAAAAACAAAACGCGCGCTTAATTTGCCGCACCCTGTAAAATTAAAATGATAAATTTTTGTTTAAAATGAGAAAAGTTATGATGAAAAAACTGACCCCAATTTAATAAAATATAGAGCATTTTTGACGGTTTTTTGACGATAACTTTTTTTGTAGTTAACCTATAATGCTGATTTTTAGCTCATTTTGTAGCAAATTTAATTCTCTATCGAATGATATAAAAATATTTAAAAAATGTTGGCCCTCTAAAGAGTTATCATTTTCCGAAGACGGCAAGTTCGTATGTGTATTTTGAGGTAAATAGAGAGAAATCTCTTCCTCTCATCCCATCTTTACCTCAGAGTTTGTACAAGCATTGAGGTTTTTGGTTAAATAAAGGCCCCAAAAAGCGAGAAGCTTTTTCCCAATCTTTCTCTATAGCTTACAAACCCTGGTTGTCATCAACATTCAGTCAGTCATCTGCTCGATTTGCTTGCGATAAGAGCGCAAACAAATAAAAATATATAAAAATACCAACAGAAAAGCATTGTATATTTTTACTAGCAGAAAAAAATTGGGAATAGTTGGGGGGCTAGTTGGTGGGTAAAAAATATTATTTTTATTTTTATACAAATAATGAAAGGGAGAGAAGAAATTTTTTGGTCAAAAAACATAAAAATATTTTTTTAAAGAAATAAAATTAATTTTGAATAGATATTAACATAGTATTTTTATTTTTGATTTTTATCAATTTTTAATTGGAGAAAAAAATTTTGGAAAAAAATATTGAAGAAAAAATATTGGAAAATTAATTTTAATAAATTTATGAGAAAATTTATTCAAGGAAAAATATGGACAAGATTTTTAAAGCACTATATGAATTTTGAAATCATAATTTAAAATTTGTATTTAAAATTGTAAATTAGGTATATTAATATTGAATAAGCTATTAAATATGAATTTTATTATGAGAATTTACTAATTAATTTTAATAAAATCAGAATTGTAGAATTGTCAGAATATTATAATTCTGATTTTTCTGACTCCCTTTTTATTAGATTCTGAAATTAATTCTGATTTTTTTTCTCAATTTTTTAAAATTAATTCTGAAATTAATTTTACAATTCTGATTTATAATTTAATTTTGCAATTGTAAATTTTTATGGTTTATTCTTTATTATTAATTCTGAAATTATACATAGTATAGTAATTTTTATCTACTTAAATATTTTTTTTAAATCTTTACATAAAAATCCAAAAATGCCAATTTCAATTAGTTAAACAAAAAGTTTTAAATATTTTTATTTGGACAATTTACTTTTCTGGTTTACCCCAAATTTTAGTGTAAACAAAAAGTAAAAGTAACACGTTTTTAGCTTAATTTGTTAGCAATTGGCACGCTAAGAAAATATATTGGATGGAAAAAAAGTTTATTTGAAAATATTTATTTATGTAAATACACAAAAATAATTTGGAAAGAATTTGCAAAGAAATCCAATTGAAATTAAATTATATTCAGAATTTTTAAAAAATTACGAATCAGAAATTCTGATAAAATAATTGTAATTATGTATATAATAAGTTTTTACAAATCAGAATTTATTTAATTAAGTTTGTAAAATAATTCTGGTTTTAAAACTTAATTAATAAATGGAAATTCTGATTTATATAGTACAACGCAAGTTTTACAAATCAGAATTTTTCTTTCGTAAAACTTTACTTGAAAAAATAAAAATTCTGATTTGTAAAACTTGCGTTCTAAATCAGAATTTCTGATTAATTTGCAAATCATAATTTAAAAAATCAGAATTTTTTATTTTCAATTAACTCTCAGAATTACAGATCAGAATACTTTATTTTAAATTAATCTCAAAATTACAAATCAGAATTATTTTCAATTAATTGGTTTTCTAAAAATTAATCAGAACTTTTTTAAATTAAAATCGTAAATTATATTAATTAATTATTTTGCTAAATAATTTAAAAATTAAATAAAAATAAAAAGTGAATTGATGAACAAAAAATTGAAATGTGAGAAAATCTACTTTAAGTCGTCCAAAGACATAGGGCCAAATAAAAAAAGAAATGAAAGAAAAAGAAAATTTATTTTTTAGGGGAAGAAATGTAGCCGTGAAATGAATGGCATAGAGAGAAGGGTAATTTAAGGAAGAAAAAATGAGGAGGAAGGAGGAAAAGGTTTTAAGACCATCCTCTCCTCCAAGTAAATAAAAATGAAATTTGAGAATATTAGCAATTTTTTGTTGTTTTGTTAAATAAATATAGTGGTGTCAATAACTGACAAACCTTTATATGTAATATAATAATAAATGTAAAATGAAAAATTTTTATAAAAACAGAATTATTTAATAAAAATCAGAATTAAAATTATTATCGGATTTTTAATAAAAAGGAGATAATAATTATAATCAGAAATTACCTAATAAAAAATCAGAAATTGTGTTTTACTTAATCTTAAATTAGAATTTACAATCCTCAATTATCAGAGTCAATTATCAGAATATCAGAATTTGTATTTTGTCTAAATATATTTACAAACCAGAAATTGTGAAAATCAGAATTTTATTTAATTTTTATATTTAGAAATTAGAATTTGTAATATTCATCTGTTTGTTATTATCGATATAAATTCTAAAAATCAGAATTTGTAATTTATTTTTACAAATCAGAATTCTTTATTTATTTCAAGTTTACAAATCAGAATTTTAAAAAATCAGAATTTGTAATTTATTTTCACAAATTAGAATTCCTTATTTATTTTCAGGTTTATAAATCAGAATTTTAAAAAATCAGAATTTGTAATTTATTCTCACAAATTAGAATTCCTTATTTATTTTCAGGTTTATAAATCAGAATTTTAAAAAATGAGAATTTGTAATTTATTCTCACAAATTAGAATTCCTTATTTATTTTCAGGTTTATAAATCAGAATTTTAAAAAATCAGAATTTGTAATTTATTCTCACAAATTAGAATTCCTTATTTATTTTCAGGTTTATAAATCAGAATTTTAAAAAATCAGAATTTATATTTATTTTCACAAATCAGAATTCACTTATTTATTTTCAAGTTTACAAATCAGTATTAAAAAAATCAGAATTTGTAATTTTTTTACAAATCAGAATTACTTATTTATTTTCAAGTTTAGAAATCAGAATTTTAAAAAATCAGAATTTATATTTATTTTCACAAATCAGAATTCTTTATTTATTCTAAAGTTTACAAATCAGAATTTCAGACAATCATAATTTGTAATTCATTTTCACAAATCAGAATTCATATTTATTCCCAAGTTTACAAATCAGAATTAAAAAAAAATCAGAATTTAGATTTATTTTTATAAATCAGAATTTCTTAGTTATTTTCAAGTTTACAAATCAGAATTTTAGAAAATCAGAATTTAGATTTATTTTTATAAATCAGAATTTCTTAGTTATTTTCAAGTTTTCGAATCAGAATTAAAAAAAAGCAGAATTTATATTTATTTTTACAAATCAGAATTCTTTACTTATTTTAAGTTTACAAATCAGAATTTAAAAAAATCAGAATTTATATTTATTTTTAAAAATCAGAATTTCTTATCTATTTACAAGTTTACAAATCGGAATTTTAAAAAATCAGAATTTATATTTATTTTTACAAATCAGAATTAAAAAAATCAGAATTTGTAATTTTTTTACAAATCAGAATTACTTATTTATTTTCAAGTTTAGAAATCAGAATTAAAAAAAATCAAAATTAATTTATTTTCACAAATCAGAATTCCTTATTTATTTTTAGGTTTACAAACCAGAATTTTAAAAAATCAGAATTTGTAATTTATTTTACAAATCAGAATTTTAAGGAATCAGAATTTGTAATTTACTATATTAATATTCATCCCTTTGTATATATCAATATTTAAAAAATTATCCCTCCCGCTAACAAAAGCAGCAGAATTTCAAGAGCAGTATCTCTCCACTTACTTTTGGTCATCAATCCGGATATATAATATTTATTTATGATAATTTAAGTACAAAAAACAGAAAAATTTACTTTCATAGTACGTTAGGCACTTAAACAACCACAAAAAAATAATTTTTAACTGGACTGGGAGAGAGAAAGTAATACATCTTTTCTCTTTATTTTTATTTATTTTTTGCTAATTTTCCCCAATAATTTTTTTAAATCTTCATTGTCTTCCTCTTGTTCTTCAAAAACAATATTTACTTAAATTTCATATAATCTTCTTTATTTCTTTTTTATTTTTTTAAAAATTGTCTGTTGCAAAACTTAACCAAAAACCAAAAAAAACATAAAAATAAATAAAAAAAACAAAGATAAGAAACAATAGTATTTGTGTGAAATGTACTTGTAAGCAATAATAATACATAAAAGCCTGGAAAACTGTTAGTACTTAAATATTCCTCAAAATATTCCTCAAAATATTCATAAAAGCAACTCAAAAATATTTAGGATACAATTTTAAATTATTTACAATTTTTTCTGATTTTTTAAAAATATTTTTCTGAGTCCTTTTAACCCTATATAATAATCAGAATTGTGAATTTGTTCATTGATTCTGTTTTGAATAAATATTTAAAATCAGAATTTTATTTTTTTGTATTTTCGTTATAATTTGTTATATTTAATTCTGATTTGTAATTAAGTAAAATCAGAATTATATAGGTATATTAAAATCAGAATTTCTTTAAAACCAGAATTATTTTTCAGAATTTCTTTAAGATCAGAATTTTATCATCATTATTTCTTATCAGAATTATTTTTAACTATAAATCAGAATTTAATCAGAATTTTTAAAAAATTACTGGTCAGAATTACTCTTAAAATCAAAATTAAACAATTAATTTAAAGCCAGAATTATTTTTTAGATCAGAATTAAAAAATAAAAAAAAATCAGAATTATTTCTAATTAAATTAATCAGAATTATTTCTATAATTATAATCAGAATTTAATTATTAAAACCAGAATATAATGATTAAAACCAGAATTTAATTTTAAAACCAGAATTATACATATATAGAAATTTAGGTAATCATAGTATTTATTATTGTGGTGCTTTTTAATTAAAAATTTTTAACTAATAAAATCATATTTTATATTTAATTTAGGACCTCCTATAATTTAATATATTTATATGAAAATTCAAAAATAATAAATTAAAATTAATTAAATATTTTCTCAAAATGTTTACTCATCATCTCCACTTTCTTCTCGTTTTGCTTCTATTAACAACCCCTCCTGTATTGCCTCAATTTGGGGGTCCACAGTTTGGAGGTCCTCCTCTAAATGCCCCTCCCAACAATGCATTCCCCCCTATTGGAAATAATTTGGGAGGAGGAGGATTTCAATCAGATCCGTGTGCGGCAATGTGTGGAGGTCCAAATATGGGAAATTCACTACAACATCAACAACCTTTACAACAATTTGCTTTAATGCCTCCTAATGGGCAACAAATGCAACAAAGGGATGAGAGATGTTAGTCTGATTAATATTTAATTGACAGAATTCTGATTTTAATTCCGGAAGAAATCAGAAAAAATTATTATAAAAAATCAGAATTCTGATTTTTTGATTCCGAGAGAAATCAGAAAAATGAATAAAAATCAGAATTCTGATAATAATTTTAACACTGAAAAAAAGCATAAAAATCGGAATTCTGATTTTAATTCTGAAAAAAATCAGAACTATTTTGAATTAGAATTCTGATTTTAATTTTGAAAAAAATCAGAATTTTTTTGAATCAGAATTCTGATTTTTTTAAATTCTGGTGAAATCAGAAAAATGAATAAAAATCAGAATTCTGATAATAATTTTAACACTGAAAAAAGCATAAAAATAAGAATTCTGATTTTAATTCTGAAAAAATCAGAACTATTTTGAATCAGAATTCTGACTTTTAATTCTGAAAAAATCAGAATTTTTTAAATTAGAATTCTGATTTCTTTAATTCTGGTGAAATCAGAGAAATTATTTTAAAAATCAGAATTCTGATATTAATTTAAAACAGGTTGTTGTTGCTGTTGTCCTCCGCCTCTACCACCCCCACCAATGATGGCACCTCCACAAAGACCTCCATGCTGTGTAATTTGTTGTTGTGAACAACAAGTAAAATAATTTAAATTAATTTATATTTAATTATAAATTTTTTAAATAGGAACCACCACCAATGCCTCCACCAATAATTTTGCAGCCACTACCACCACCACCCCCTCCGCCCCCACAAAGTGAGTAAAAAAATATTTTTTTTTGCCCTCAAAAATTTTTTCAAGTTTGCCTTCTTTGCTGTTGTGAACAAGCACCTCCTCCCCCACCACCACTTCCACCACCCCCTCCTCCACAGCCTTGTTGCTGCTGCTGTCCATGTTGCTGTTGTTGTCCCCCACCCCCTCCACCACCAATGCCCCCACCAATGCCGCCGCCTCCTCCTCCACCATGCCCTTGCTGTTGTTGTTGCTGTCCTCCAGGTGAGTTTTATAGTAAAATGTGAATCTTCTGATTTATCATATTCTGATTTTTGAATATTCTGATTTTTGAATATTCTGATTTTTGAATATTCTGATTTTTGAATGTTCTGATTTTTGAATATTCTGATTTTTGAATATTCTGATTTTTGAATATTCTGATTTTCGAATATTCTGATTCTTGAATATTCTGATTTCTGAATATTCTGATTCTTAAATATTCTGATTCTTGAATATTCTGATTTCTGAATATTCTGATTCTTAAATATTCTGATTCGTGAATATTCTGATTTTTAAACAAAAATTCTGATAAAATTATTTAATTCAGCACCCCCGCCAATGCCTCCACCATTGCCACCTCCACCACCACCACAGCCTTGCCCTTGCTGTTGTTGCTGCTGTCCTCCACAACAACAACAACTTCCACCACCGCCACCACCTCCATGCTGTTGTCCTTGCTGTTGTTGTTGTACTATACAGTCACATTCACAACAACCACCTCATTTTGGTGGTGGATTTGGAGGAGGGTTTGGAGGTTGGAGAATATTACTTTATTTAATAATTCTGATTTTTACTAATAATTCTGATTCTCTGATTTTTCCCAGAAATTCTGATATTATCAAAAATTCTGATTTTTCAAAAAATTCTGACCTTCTGATTTTTTAACAAAAATTCTGATTTTTCTGATTTTATCAAAAATTCTGATCTTATATTCTTCCCAAAAATTCTGATTTTAATTAAAATTCTGATCTTCTGTTTTTACCAAAAATTCTGATTTTTAATAAAATATTAATTTAAGGAGGGATGCCTCCACCACCCCCACCATTCGGCGGAGGAGGTATGATGCGTCCACAACAACCATCATGTCCCTGCTGTGGAGGAGGAGGATTTGGAAAGCGAAGGAAGCGTTTAGTTGATTATTTAAATAATAAACAGAATTCGACCAATTTTTAAAAAATTTTTTGAAAATTTTTTTAAAATTTTATTATTGTTAAAAATGATTTTTTAAATAATAAAGAGTAATGAAAGACACGTAATTTAATTTTTAAAATTTAAAATATTTAAAAATAAACTAGTTGAACTATTTATTAAATTAATTTTTTGTTAATTTTCTCCTAATTAAATTATCAGTTGGCACCAATACACAAGCAAGTCTTTCTACAAAATAAAAATTTGGTTGCCTTGTTTATTTCGCAAAACCCTCCTTAAATATTAAATTTTAAAAAATTCAAAAAAAATTTTTTTTTAAGTCACCCCTAGCCCATTCAGTACACAAAAGTTCCCCTCTGTCATCTACTTCGTGTTCACAGTCAAAAATGTAGGGAGTCCCTTAATATTAATTTTAAAAATAATTTAATTAATTAATTAATAACATCTCTGAAAAACGGCTGTTGTTGTTTTTAATGGAGAAGCTTAATAAGGAGAAAAATATAATTAAGTGATATGTTATTTAATAATTAATAAAAAATCAGAATTATTAAATTTAAAATTATAAATTCTGATTTTATATTTAATTGGAATTTAAAATAAAATTCTGATTAATTAAATTCTGAAATTCTGATTTTTAAAATTCTGATAATTAAAAATTTTTATTATTAAAAATTCTGATTATTAAAAATTCTGATTTAATAAATTCTGATTTTTATAGTCTTATTTCTAGAATTCTGATTATTAAAAAAACTGATTATTCTGAATTCTGATTATTTAAAAAATCTGATCATTAAAATTCTGGTAATTAAAATTCTGAAAATTAAAATTCTGATTTCTGATTTTTAAAATTCTGATTATTATTTAAAAACAAAAATAATTCTGATTTTTTTAAAACATTCCCCCATTAAAAATAAAATTTAAAAATTCTGAAATAAAATTCTGAAATAAATTCTGAAAAAATACACATGCAAAAACACACAAAATTCTGATTTTTATTTATTAATTACCTTCACGTTCTGTAGTTGTTCCCACTAACCCTAATTTATTTTTTAAATGCATTGGTTTAGCTTTGGGTGCTACGGGCTCTTAAAATTAAATAAATTTTTTATTAAAAAATATCTTTTTCAACTTTTATTCTCTTCATCTTCTGATATCTTATTTTCCGAATTTTCAGTTAATTCGTCATCTATGGCAGAAAAAAATTCTGTAGCCTTCCCATCATTATTTAAATTTTTTCTTGTAGATTTTCTCTTAGATTTGCCTTCATTATTAGTTAATTCTTCCATTTTTATTCCGTTTTGGCGGGTTTTTAGATTTTTCTTTTTTGTGTTTTCATCTATAAATAAAATTTTTTTTTATTTTTAAAATTTTTCGGAATTTTTGAAAATTTATAAAAAAATTTTTTTGAAAAATATTTTTTAAATTTACTTCGTGTTTCTCTCGTTTCATCACAATTAACAGCTTGTGTTTTATTTCGAATATTTTCACGTTTTTCAACGGATATGTCTTTATCATTGTCTAACTCACTTTCTTTTGCTTCTTTTTTGTCAATTTGGGTTTCTTCTGTTTTTTCAAATTTTGTTTTGGTTTCTGCTGAATTTTCTGACTAAAAACAATTTAAATTTAGTCGAGTTTTATGTATATTTATAGTGTTAAAAACGTTTCATTCCGAGTGTCATAAAGAGATTCTGTTGCTTTTTCGAGTAAAGCTGCATCCCAGAATATAGACAGAAGAGTGTAAGGGATCTGAGAGAGATGACAACTTGAGAGCCTCTCCAATGGTGCTAGTGTAAGGAAGAGAAAGATCCAGCTGGCTAGCATTTAAAACGCTCCGAGGGTTTAAAAGCTGATATAAAAGAGAAGGTGAAGGTAGCGTCCCGGTAGCTCAGTCGGTAGAGCACCTGTCCGTGGTGAGCGAAAGCGCCTAGCAATAACTGCCAGGAGTCGCAGGATTGAAGCCTGCCCGGGATTAAACTTTTAACTCGCTCTTTCTCTGGTTAATCTCCTAGAAATATCTCACCACCAGGTGTGGGCGCAAGAGACAATTTCAAAAAACGCAAAACGCAACGCAAGGCCAAAAATCAACGCAAAACGCAAAAAACGCAAGACGCAACGCGCCCACCCCTGCTCACCACCGACTAATCCTTTTCATTTGTGCCCTTATCTACTAGGCTGAAGGGAACATCGCTGACCTTCCAGCACCCACAATTGCTCAAAGCTTTAAAATTTCAAAAAAAATTTAAATTCACCTCTCTTTTCCTTTCCTCATTAGAAGTATTTATTTCCTTCTTTTCTTCACTTAATATTTTCCCTTCCTTCTCCTCTTCCCTTCTTTCAACTATTTTCTTCTTCCCTTCTTCATTTTCAATCTTCTCCTTTTCGCTACTTTCATCCTTTTTTCTTTTTTCCAATTTTTCTTCCGATTTTTCCGTTCTCTCCACAGATTTTTCTGTACTTTCCACAGATTTTTCTACTTTTACTTCCACAGATTTTTTATTTAAATTTTCTTTTTTAATTTCTTTTAAAATTTCTTCTTTCGAATTTACTACTTCTTTCGAATCCCTTTTCAATATTTCTTCAGATCTACTTCCTCTCCTTCCCCCTTTATGCTTTCCAGTTCTATGCCTGTAAATATCTCCGTTTTTGTTGAAATTCACAACTAAACCCTCATTTTTAAGTAGCCCTTATGGCTGCAAGTTTGCACCTTATAATGAGGTGTATCTTAAATAGAGGGTACTACTTAGGCAGCTGAATATGTTTGTAGATTATACGAGTTAGCTTTGGATATACGAAGATTTTCCTAGTACCTACAACCCTACTACTCCTAAATTTATTTGAGATCCAAAAGTTAAACCAAACATTACATGAGATAGGCAAAAGATAGATGGGACTTTATACAGAGAGCCTTAAGATTTAAGGTTGTTAATCCCGTTTAACCATCCAATATCGAGACTGATCGCTTTTATTTTTGCTTAATTTGCTAGGCTTGGGGAGGGGAAAAAACTTTACCAATCCTAAAATATTTAATACCTTTCTCTTGATTCCGAAGATCTCGATCTTCTCTTTTCTTTAGAGTGTCTCCTTTCTTTCGATCTTCTTCTATATTCTTCCGAAGATCTCGATCTACTTCCATGATGATGTCTTTCTCTAGATTTTCCTCTCCTCCCATGTCGTTTTTCTCCAGATCTAACCTCATAAGACCTCGATCTCGACCCTTTCCTATGCTTCCCTTTACGTTTTTCTATACTCTTCACATCTTCTTTGAGTGTTTCTATTCGAGTTTCTTCCTTCTCTGCATCCTTTTCCGTGTCCTTTTTATTTATTTCTTTTAATTTTGATTCGCTAATTGAAGTGGATATTGTTACTTGTTTTAATTCTTCTTCAGTTTCACTTGATTCTTTATTTTTTGTGGTGTTTGTTGGAAGCTTTATTTGGTCGAAATCTAAGAGAAAAATTTTTTTGTTAAATATTTCTTTCATTTTTCCTTCCCGGACAGCTACCGAAAGGAACTCGGTCAGTCTTTTAAGGTCCTTGAATTTTCTCCCTGGCGTTAATTATGGGTGAGAGATGAGGGGGTGAGAGACTTAAATTACTTAATTTAATGACGAGAGAGAATTTATCTTCTGATAAAATGGAATAAGCTCGATTCCTCCTGGACTCCTCCGTCCTCCTTTTCTATGACTTCCTCCTCCCTTTCTTTTAATAGAATCCAAACTTCCACTTCCATCTGATCTCCTTTTTTCAGAAAGGAGATTCAGATGATGGTGGAACTTTGAGTTATAATAATAGAGCAGTATTGAACTTGGGGAGCATAAACGCTTAACAATAACTGCTAGGAGGATTTCACTCTTATCTTCCTCATTCTTCCCCGTTTTTCCTAAATTTTTTTCGAGTCTAACTTTATTTTACTTATTCTTCCAAAATTTAGTACCCCAATATTTATTTCCTTTAGGTGAGCCTGTCGTTTTTGAGTTAATTACTTCCTCCTCCTTTTCAACCCCAGCAGTAGTTCTTCCATCATTTTTTAAACTTTCTTCTTCATTGTCAATAATTGAAGAATTTATTTTTGGAGCTAATTCACTAATTAATATTGTATTATTTTCTTTTTCAATTAAATTAGGGTCCAAAATTTTATTTTCGTTATCATTTCCCCCAATTTCTGCATTCCTTTGCTTTTCTATTTTTTCTTCCTCCTCTTTTTTCTGTTTTCGTTTACGACATTCTTTTAAAAATTAAATTAAAATTTAAAAAATTATATTAAAAATTACTCTTTTTAGGCTTCTTTGTGCTTGCTTCATTTTCAGAATTTTCTTCTTTGTTGTCAGGCAAAGTTGATGTTTCCTCCTCTATTTCCTCCTTTAGGGTTGTAGCTTCTACTATATCTGGTCTTTATTTAAATTAAAGAAAATTTAAAAATCAGAATTTTCTTATTTTTAGAATCAGAATTTGTACATATTTTCTCAATATTTTACGTTCAGAATTTTTAAAAATTAGATTATTTTATTAATAATCAGTATTAATTTTTAAAGAGTCAGAATTTAAAATTAGAATTTTATTTTTTAATCTTTCAAAATTTTTATAATAAAAATTTTGTGTTTACTCATTATTTTCTAATCAGAATTAATTTTCTCGATATCAGAATTAACATTTTTTAAAATTAAAAATCAGAATAATTTGTTTACCTTTTTGTTATTATCTCCTCTTTAATTTCATCATTTATTTTTTCACTTTCTTTACTCGAAGAAAAAGGTTTCAAGGATTTTTTAACAACAAAATCTTCTGTTTCATTTTTTAAAAATTTAGTTTTCCCAATTTCTTCAGACGAATGTTCTTTAATTTTTTGTTGTTTCCGTTTCTTGCCTTTTTAATTTAAATATTTTTTTAATTAGAAAATTATTTTTAAATATTTTTGTAAAAATATTCCTTACAAAAAAATATTAAAATATTCTTATTAAAATATTCCTTACAAAATTAAATTTTTAAAATCAGAATTTTGATTTTATTAAAAATCAGAAATGATTCCAAAATCAGAATTAATTTACATCAGAATTTTATATTTCTCATTATTTTCTAATCAGAAATCCAAATTTAATATACCGTATATGCTCGAATAATTACCCTCTCTCAAATAATTGCCCCCTCTCAAATAATTACCCCATGTAGCGAGAGGTTGAAAAAATAATTACCCCTCCTAAAAATAGTTATAATTAGCCTATTTAAAAAAGCTCAAATAATTACCCCATCTCAAATAATTACCCCGTCTAGCGAGAAGTTGAAACAATAATTACCCAGGGTAATTATTCGAGCATATACGGTAGGTTGGTTTATTTTATGGTTTGTTTGCCTATTAGATGGTGGCGGATTCCCCAATTTAATATACACTTCCTTATACTAAGATAAGATTTTTTCTACCTCAAGTGGGTGTAATGAGGTCAGATTTTATTTTTTAAATTTTAAAAATTAAAAGATAAATTTACTTTCTAAGCGTGCTTTACATACTCTGTCTTCTTCATCTTCCTCTTCCTGTTCTTTTAATTCTTTTGATTTATTTTGATTTATTTCTATATCCCCTCGAATTCGAGTTACTATAGGAAAATTATTTTAAAAAATTGAATAAAATAAAAATTTAGAAAACACACAGTTAGGTAAGGATCTCTCAACAGAAGACCTCTCAGAACTAGCAACACTTTCTACACTTGCTAGCAAAATATTAAGTAAAATGAAAATTAAAAATAAAAATTTTTGCCAATTTAATATTAAATTGTAATTTAGCTGAATGGTGAAAAGTGCATTTTGCATTTTACATAAATGCTTTTTTTCTAAGGATTTATTTTAAAAATTAAAAAAATTAATTAATTAAAATTATTAAATAAAATTTGTTATAGTTCCTTCAAAGCTTGTTTCGGTAAAGGCCTCCCAACTAAAAGTGCCGAAGTATTATTATTTAATTAAAAAAATTAAAAACGAAAGACGAGATACTTCCCCTAATGTACTTAGTTTGAGATTTGGGTAGTGAATCGAGAGGGGAATTCTTATTCCACCCTTGATTGGAATAAGAATTTTCAATAATAAGGTATACTATAAAGATAATTGTCTGTATTACCTTAGAATGTGGGATCTGGTCAGTGAATCAGGATGGGGATTTATGTTACGTGTTTCATCCCTAGTTTGAATGAGAATTTTCAATTTTAAGAAGGGTTACTATGTATAAAGACAATTGTCTGTATTACTTTATATTGTTAAAATAAAATATAATTTGATTAAATAATAATAAAAGGAATGTTAAAAATTAACTAAAACTTTAATATATTAAAAATAAATTTTCTTTTAATCAGATTATTTTTTAAATTAATTTTTTAGGTCGTTTTTAATGATCTTTTTTAGCCTTTCATCACTTCCCCTCGCCTTTTCCACTTCCTTATATTACCAACCAGATCAGCTTGTATATTAAACATTTTTGGAGGGATATTTTAGTGATTAGAAAGAAAAGAGAAGTAAATAAAGTGAACCAGATATTAAAAATCAAAGAGGAAAAGCGGAACTAATAGGTAAAAAAATAAAAAAGCAATTCCAATTTATTATCGTCGTTAAAGTCAATTAATCATAAAAGTTTTATTTTTAAAGGATTTTGTACTTTTAAGGTTATGGAACCAACAGTAATTTATATTTTGGAAAATATTGTAGAACATTTTTTTGTTTAATCTGGTTCAACCCTTAGGACCTAAATTGAACCAAAATTACAAGGACATAGTACATATGAGAGAGACAAATAGCGCTTGAAAATTAAAAAAACATTGACTTTGATTCTTAATTTTGGTTGAGAACCTTGACCAGATTCTTTGACCACAAGTCAAGTAAAATCAAGGAACAAAATTGAAAACAGTCAAACCAAAAATATCCTTGATCTTGACTCTGAAGCCATTAAAAATTTAAATCTGATCCAGATCAGCTAATTTATACACATAAATAGTGGTCAAAATTACCACATTAATTAATCAGTTATTAAATGATATTTATGATTATTTATTAATAACTAAAACTGGTTTGAAATAAATAAGCTTATTTTATTTGTTTTATAAAGGAATTTTTTTTTGAGATATCATTTAGACTTTATAAAGAATCTATATAAGTGACAACTCTAAAGTTTATCACAACCAAAATCATAATTAGTTGAAAAGCTAAGCAAAATTTTAGCCTAATAGATCTGCCATCTATTAACCTCTTCTCGAATTTTAAAATAGGTATAGAAAGAGTTAAGCAAAAGTTTAGCTACCGGCCAGGATTCGAACCTAAGACCTCTTCGTAGCTTTCGCTCACCACAACAGGAGCTCTAACACCAAACTACCGGAGCGACGACTAATGTTTTATCTGCTTTATCTTTTATACTTTTAGAGCGTTTTAAATGATCTAGGTGAATCATCATTTCAATAACAGTCTTAAAATTGTGTCTTGATTTAATCAGTTAATTAATAACAATCAAAAGATTAACATTTTATTTTAGTACAATTATTTGTATTATTATTTGTATTTTTAGTACAATTTTTGTTATTTTCAATCTTTTTCTTAATCACAACAGCCTTATATCCCAATTTTAATAAAGCTGTGAATTTGGGCGCTAGCCATTTGACTGTTGACACCATAAAATTGGCACGTCTTTGAATATCTCTGGAATGGGAGAAGAAGAATTTAAAAATATTTTTTTGATTTTATTAGTAAAATTCAAATTTTCAATTATCAAAAAATTTTTAAATTAAAAATTTAACTACATTTCTTCATCATTTAAATTATTTTGTGTAAAATAATTACAAAATTTAAAAATAATATTTTCATTAAAATTTTGTTTGATTTATTTTTAAATAATAAAAAAATTAAGAATTGAAAAAATATTTTTGTTAAAAAATCAGGTTTTTATTTAATTATGCTACGCTTACATAAAAATCGCGCGCGACACGCGACAGTCGCTAGGCGACATGTCGCCTGCGACAGTCGCTAGTTGTGTGCTTACATAAAATCGGCGATTTCCGCAAAAGCGACTGTCGCAAAGCGACAAAACGCTATTTTTATGTAAGCACAAAGCAGCGACGTCGCTAGGCGACATGTCGCCTAGCGACGTCGCAAATCGCGCGCGATTTTTATGTAAGCACAAAATTATTAGTTTTTCTATCTTTTTCTTCTATATTTTCTTTATTTATTTATCTCTATTTTTCACGTTGGTGAAAGTCAGAGTACTGTAATGTATAGGACAGTTCGTTGCCACTATTTATTGTGGCTTTTATATTGTGGGTGCGGACCAGAGATGGACGAAAATTTTCCGTTTCGTATTTCATTAAAAATATATTTTCGTTCCGTTTTCGTTTCGTAAACTCAATTTTTAGACGAAAATGACGAAAAAATATTCGATATTTTTAGACAAATTTTGTCGTATTTTTAAGGCAAAAATTGAAAATTTTTCTCCTAGGAACTGGAAATTCAAAAAATTTTGCCTGCGGCGCTGAAAAATGGATAAAAGGATAGGCTTTAGTGATTGTATTTTAGGATATAGATCTTATCAATAGACTGGTCCCCCTTTTATATAGCTCGGTTCAGTCCCATTGGTTCAATGAGATCATGAAAGATCAAAGGGAAATCGGGGCTTTGGAGGTCCGGACCCGTTTCCGGGTCCTTTTTCCGTTTTTAAGGGTTTTCATGGTTTCCCGGACCCGGTCACCGGGAAACCGTACTTTGATATTAAATTTTTGAAGGAAAAGGGAAAGGAATATTTATAATTTCCACTATTTTCTTTAATTGGGCGATGGTTGAGTGGTTATGTTGACTGACTTTACTCATCTAGTTATCTTGACAGGGATGGGGTTCGAATCCATGTAGGAAGTGGGACTGAGAAAATTTTCTTCTCAAAAATAAATATCTTTAAACTTTAAACCCTCTTAATCCCTTAAATGCCTTGATTTTCCCCGAAATTTTTTGTCCATAACTTTATGGGACGAGCCCTACTCATCGAGAAATGATCACTTTTTCATGTTTTTGGTATCATTTGATAGAGAATTAAAAGCTCTACAACATATAAAAAATCAAAATTATTGACCGATTGATAAAAAGTTATGATAAAAATACTCGATAGCATACTGAAAATCTCAAAAATATCGAAAAAAAGAATATTTTTTGCAAAAAGTATACCTTTTTCAAAATCAATTTTGACCCATAAGATTTAACTTTAAAAATATAAAATTTATATTGATCGATAGAGAATAAACTGAACTTTCAGAATCTTTTTAAATTTCGAAAATCGGATCAGAATTGA